GCCTTGGCCGCGTGCTCTGTGTCCACGTCTCTCAGCACGGGTGCTTGCGGGAGCCGCGATCCCAGGATCCCCACGTACGTAGGAGAGGGATTGCAGCCAGGATGGACGGCTAGATGTGCCGCCTGGCACGTCTAGCCCGGAGGTGAGCGTGCTGTCTCCGGGCAATGAGGACGTGCTGCGGGGACTACACAGCGTGCAGTATCGCTGCCAGCAGGGCTGCTGACACAGGGAGGTAACCAGGTGCCTTTCAGTATGGGGTGTCTGGAAAGATGCAGGCCAGTTTGAGGCTGTTCTTTAAAGAAAACCAAACTGTCCTTGTCTAACCAGAGACAGGGGTGAGTTTTGCAGCAGCAGCCTGCAACCCGTAGCTGAATTTCTAGGCTCAGAGARCTTTGACCTCAGGAGAGGGAGGCAGCCGCTCCCAAGTGGGCTGTCTGGGTCTTCTCTCTGGGGTGATTGCTTTCTGCCAACCAGTCTAACTGGATGTGCTCATGGTTGTTTCATGTAAGAAGACATCTCAGGGTGATGCCCAATCCTTGCCGAGGTCGGTGGCCTGCGCTGGCCTGTGGGGTTTGTCAGAGGAGCTGCAGCTTGAGGGCTGCAGAGAAACATGCCAAGAGATGGAGACCACCAGGACGGGGAATGGTGGACTGCAGTGTGCTGGGCCCCCATGGATGCTAACCTGGGAGCATCCGCCTTGAGGTGTAGGGTGCAGCCCTGTGCTGCCCTCCTCACCCACCATGGGGACAGCCCAAAGCAGCCAGGTTTCCCCTGGCAGAGCGGTGCCCGGCTCTCTCGGGTCTCCTCAGGTGGCTGGAGAGGAGACCCGGCCGTTCACAAGGTGCAGCAGGGGCTCCTGCTCTCTCGCGTGTGCCCCCTTGAGCCCCAAAGGCTGTTGGGGGACAGAAGGGCAGACGCTCCTTTGCAGAGCCTAAAGGGAGAGGAAAAGATGCCTAAAGCTACTGAGCCTGAGCCAGGCCCCTTGGGCCCGAGCAGAACAGGCCCTGGCAGTGATTAACGCCAGCGTAGAGCGGGCTGCCCAGCCCCTGCGGGCACGTGGCAGACAGGGCTGGGCTCTGCTTGTCTGGGGAGGACGCGGCGCCTCRTCGGGGAGGACAGGAACCCGGGGGGACCTTCCTCGGGTTCCTGTCAARCATCTGCTGCAAGGCTTTCCAAAACGGAGTGGAGGTCGTTGAGCAGCTTCGCGCATGGTGCCGAGCTAGGCACCTAATAACCGGGCAGCTCTGGTTCCTTGGAGCTGGGAGTGTGCCCGGCTGCTCTGTCCCGATGCCCTCCTGGGAAATGCGGCTGTGATTGCATTCCTGGCTTGTGGAAATTTTTCCCTCCTCAGACTGGGCCTCACAAAGGAGTCCCCACTTAGTGGTAATTGCTTTCCTTAAAAGCTGAGTGTCTCCTGAGGACTGCAAGTAGAGGATTATCAAATTAATTAGTGAAGCTATGAGGTGCTTTTGTGAAGCTGAGGGCCGCTTCATTTGTGATCTGAAATACAGGCTTCAACGTTGCTAAAGCAGAGATCTGAGCAACGTTGCTAAAGCAGAGATCCCTGGTGGAGGATGGTTTTCTCCAGGTGTTCTCCTGCAGCCTTGCTGTCAGTACAGAGGCTGCAGCATCCGAGGTACAGCACCAGTTCTGCAGCGACTTGGTGCTTTCCTTTGCCTAAACTTGCTTCAAACCAACAGCTTCACCGGCCACTATGGCACCTGTGTGAGCAGTGAGGCCGGATGCTGCTTCTTGGAGCCTTCCCAGGTTGGCACGGGCCGCTGGGCGCCAGGTGGACGTGCCTTGTATTGGGTGGGATCATCACGGACCTCGCTCGAGCCGGCACCTTAAGGGCATGGCTCGATCCACGGGACAGCTGCATAACCATGAAAGGACAGGGGGAAATGAAAGGATGGGGACCTGTCTGCAAACGGGTTCACAAGCAGCTTAGCCGCGGCTGGAGATCCTGGAGTCCTACCACAGCTCCCAGCCTCTCCTTGCCCTTGGAGATCCCCMTGGGCAGAGGACGTTCCTCCTAAGGCAGTGCTTGTGCCGGGCGAGCTCATYGTCTGCGTGAGATGTTTTCCTATGAGATGCTGGCGGCTCCAGTGAAAGCGTCTGGYGCCAAGGCCTGTTGCACAACTTCCCCTAGCTCGGGTGAGGTCCTCCCCGTGCACAGCGACTCCCTACCCTGTGTCTCTTCCAACAATGCTGGATCCTATTGGAAAAAATGGAGCTTTCCCTGGTTCCCCCAACCAGAATCAGCAGAGATCTGCTAGCAGGGAGCCAAAGGTCCCCCTGCCTTCATCCAACCTCTCCCTGTTCTTCCTGGATTCCAAAGGATTGCAGCTATCACACAGCTGGGATGCAGTTAGGAGGCTGTGGTGTCTGAAGCTTCACAAGACTTGGGACTTTGAGAGGGTCCAGCCGAGAGCAACAAAGATGATTAAGGGACTGGAACATCTCTCGTATGAAGAGACACTGAGTTGGGCCTGTTCAGCTTGGAGAAGAGAAGGCTGAGAGGGGATCTGATCAACATGGATAAGTTCATGAAGGGGGAATGCAGGGAGGAAGGGGCCAAGCTCTTCTCAGTGGTGGCCAGTGACAGGACAAGGGGTAATGGGCATAAGCTACACAGGAAACCCAGGCAGTTCCATCTCCAGGTGAGGAGGAACTTCTTCACTGTGAGGGTGCCAGAGCCCTGGCACAGGCTGCCCAGGGAGGCTGTGGAGGCTCCTTCTCTGGAGGTCTTCAAACCTGCCTGGATGCCRCCCTGTGCCCTGTGYTCTGGGTGTCCCTGCTGGAGCAGGAAGGTTGGACTGGATGATCTCTGGAGGTCCTTTCCAACCTTGAACATTCTGGGATTCTATGACTTTTCTCACGCTGCAGCACATCCCGTCTTTTGCTGCCCGACATCCATCCACCTGTGGTGCTTTGTACCCGGTCCCTGGGTACAAAAGTGATTCCCTTGGGATTAAGCTGTGCCCAGGCCCGGAGCCTGCTTGTGCAGGAGACGCCCCAGCCCCGGCAGGCTGCCCAGCGCCCCGCTGCCAAGGCTGGTTTAAAGCCTAAAACACGGCTTGCATCTGGCCCGGCTGCTTCCTTGGAGCACCGGGGTTGCCAAACAGGCCCAAATCTCCGCCGGGGGAGCTGGATGCCGGGATCCCTTCGTGCTGGCGTCCGCAGTTAAAGCAAAGGCGAGCAGAGCAGAGGCCGCAACGGGGCAGGCAGCGCCGGTGGCAGAACAAGCGCAGCCTTGTTGGCAGCGTGTGCTCAAGGAGGCTTTTTACACCCACTGAAGTGCTGCTGTGTTCTCCCGTGGAAAATGGATCCATAATGCAGGAGAAGAGGGGAAAGGCCGCTTTTCCATTCGGGCGGCGTGGGGAAGTTCTGGCAGGATTCGGGGAAAAGCGCCATGGTGTTTGTGCCGCGATGTTCCCCGGGCACAAACTTGCCGTTGTGCGGGGAGCCTTGGGAATGGCAGCCTTGGTCCTGATGAGGACACAGCGGGGAGGTGAGCTCCTAACTCGGAGCTAACGGAGTTCACAGAGTGCTCGTAGGCCTGGAGGGCTCAGAGAAGGTGCGCGGTGGCTCTGAGCAGCCCCACTGCAGCCCCATTGCAGCCCCACTGAAGCTCCTGCTGGGGACAGGCTGCTTGGAGGCTTCGCTGCCTGCTCAGAGGCTGGGGCCTCTTCCAGCCCTGGGAAAACAGCGGAGACCTGTTTGCTGACTAAAAATAGACGCGTGGAGGGAGCTGGGGTTAGCCCTGCTTGAAACACCGCGGCTGGGAGCCAACGCGAGGAAATTTCCATGGCACCTCCGGCAGGAGAGGGGTGCGGATCTGCTCCGCTCCCTTTGCTCCGTGCCCGATGCCGGCACCCCAACGGAGCGAGCTCCCGGTCGGAGCAGGGGGATGTTGCCCTGTGGGCTTTGCCGTCCTGGAGGGGACGGCTGGTGTGGGGACAGCAGCCCCACGGGGAGGACGCTGCCGATGTCYGGCCGTGCTGGAGGGCTGCGAGGTGCTGGGCAAGTTCGTGAAGGGGAGGGAAGCTCGAGGCTCCGCCAGGGAAGGCTGCCACGATCCTTGTTTTCCCTCCTCTCCACTCCAGGGAGCCGCAGGAGCAGGTCCGGGTGCCCCGGGCACCTGCCTCTCCGCTCCCGCCGTCCGTCCCCCGCTGCCCTCTTCCCCTTGCCGCTTCTCTCCGCTCTCGCCTGCCTGTTCCGTGACCTTCCCCACCGCCGCCGCAGCAGCATTTTGGCCCCGGGCCATCTTAAACAATTAATGAGGGGTGGAGAAACTTGCCTTGTTAAATTACTTCCTCCTTGGGGAGGGGGTGAGGTCTCCACATGGAGCCTCTACCAGTGCAGTTTGCAGCCGCTGCCTCAAGCGGTCACTGCCTCTCTGTTTTCTTTTCCACAAGTTGGGAAAACAGTGCATTCGGGGTCCCGTTTTCTTCTTTCTCGGCGTTTTTTCCTTGACCTGCGGCATTTCCCGGGATCTCGCAGCGCGGGAGAAACTCCTCCGGATTCAGAGCGGGGAAAAAAGGGGGAAAACAACCCGAAACGAGGCGAGAGGAAGGGAGGATTTTGCCGAACACCGCTGGGGAAGCTGGAGACCTTGCTGGGATGTGTGGCGGGCGCTCGGGCAGCTCGGCGGCTCTTCCTGGGCTCCGCGGTGGAGAGTGTCCGTGTTGAGCGGGTCCGCAAGGCGCCGGCCCCGCGCCCGGCGAGCAGCGATGCCCTAAGGAGCCGCCGCCGGCCCCGCCGCCCCTGCCCGTGTCCCCCAGTGTCCCCCAGCGCTGCGGGCGCCCGGCGCTGGCGTTGGCTGTCAGAGAAGCCTCCGAGGTCCCCTGCTCAGCGCCCGCCAGTGTCATGAGTTAGATTAGCTGGAGCCACCGCGCGGGGGGCGCCCAGGGCTTGGATTACGCTCCAGAACTCCGAGCGCTTCGGCCCTTGGCGGCGGAGGGGAGCGGAGGCACCCATGGAGGAAAAGGAGAAAAACCGCCGCCTCTGGATGTGAGAGCGGGGAAGCAGGAGGCCGGGAACATGGTAAGGAAAGGGTTTTGCAAGGGGCACGAGCGGGATGGAGCTGCGGTGGGGCCGGCCGGGACCCCAGCTCTGCCTTGCGCTTCCCGTTATTCGGGGAGCAAGCAGGGCCCCGGGGCGCCGGCCCTGCCACCCATGGGGGTGCAGCGCTCCTCTTGGCATTGAGCTATGTGTTTATTCCTGCTTGTCTGTCGCGGGCACGGCCTTGGCACAAGGGCCCATGTGTCCTGAGCTGCCCAGGTGCCGGGCTGTCCGGCCGGGCCCCACGGAGAGGCTGGTGAGCGTGCGAGCAGTGGCGCGTTGGGTGTCCCTCCCCTGTGCTGCACGTCTCCGTGGGGCTGAGGGGACAATTGCGGATCTGCGTGACCGTGGGTCAGTCCTAGGGGCTGACCCTGGCATTTTCCGGGGCCTTTGGAGGGTTTGGCTCCTGCTGGGGCTCAGTTTGGGGCTCAGCGGGGAGGCCGCACGGGAGGCAGGAGGCTCCTCGGTGTCACCGTGTCACTGTCACRCTTGGAGCTGGGAATGAGCCGGTGTGCAGAGCGGTGCAGCTGGAAGGGGACTCAAGTACCACATGCATAAAGTGTCCTGTGATGTGGCCACAGCGGCTCAGGTGCCCAGGGCTGGCGGGGCCGCGTGGGCAGCGTCCCTGCTTCRCTTCTCTGTCCCGTTGCTGCCCGGGCAGGCGCGAGAGCCTCCCGGGTGGCTGCTCAGGGGGGRAGCTACCGACAGTCCCGCACCGTGGTGCCGCGCGGGCGCCTCCGTCCCCCAAGCAGAGGGACAAGTTCCCCTCGGGGATGCCCCCCGAGCCGCAGCAGGTGCTCGGGGAGCCCGGGGCTGCTTTTGCACCCTTGCTCGGGTGGCAGCAGCACGAGCTGCTTCTGCACGAGCCCCTTCCGCACGAGCCCGGCGGGCGTCTCCGTCCGGGCCACTTCTCMGCGCCTCTTGGCAAAGCTCGCAGCGGGGAAGGGAGTTTTCTCCTCCATTTCCATCCCCATTGTGGATACTTGGACTTAAYCCTCTCCGTCTAGCAGGTGTAACCACCGTGGCTTGGATGTTTTCCTTGTGCTCACTGGGACTCAGTGTCCTTACTTTTCTCCCTTGGCCTCAGGAGACCCTCCCCGCTCGTCTCTCGTCACCCCCCAGCACCTGGAAGCCGCGGGAGCACCACGAGCCGTGCGGAGGCTGGGGAGCCCCACACAAGTGCAGGGGGCACCTCCAGGCTGCCTGGAGTTTCAGCAGAAAACATCATCTTTCTGTTGCCCTCCCGTTACATCATCTTCTGGGGTGGGAAGGAAGTAAGTCTGGGAATCACAGAAAGCTCTAAGCGTCGCCGATCTTCCTTTATTGGCGTGCCAAGGCAGTGAGCRAGACGTTGGAACGCGTACAAGGCCAGAGAGAAGTAACCCTGAGCACATGGAAGCGGTTGGGAAGCATCTTCGCTGGGGTGAGGAGGGTGACAATTCATGTGTTTAAGGTTTTTTTTCTGAAAAAGGAAGAACAGATGAGCAGGTGAATTTGCTGCTTAGAGCCAGAAAAATAATGGGGTGAGTGCAGATGTGGCAGGGCAGATGTTCATTGGCTTTGGCCATAGTGCCGGCTTCCAGGAGCAGTGTGGAGGTGCCTGCTCCACGGGGAGGTACCTGTTGCATGTGGAGATACCTGCTGCACATGGAGGTCCATGCTGCACGTAGAGGTGGGAATGTGCCCCTGGGGACTGCCCAAGCTGTCCCCCCGGGTCCATAACAGGCGCTGTGGGGGCAGGAGTGCTTTGAACTCATGGCTTGTGGGCTGGAGGCACCGGCTCTCCAAGGGCTCCGATGATGATGAGGGCTCGGGAGAGGCACCAGCGCTGCCCTCRCTGCCGCGCTGAGCCCTGTGTCCTTGCTGTGAGTGTAGAGAGGACGGGCCATTGGTGACAGTGACCTGCCGAGCTCTTCCAAGGGAATGGCAAAGCAGCAATAGCGGCTACAGCTGCAGATATCATATCAATAGGGAATAAATCCCGCCAGGCACAGCTGAGCATYGAACTGGTGGAAGACGGGTTCGTGGGGTAGCAGGAGAGGGTGAAGAGGGACTCGRATTCTGCTTCTTTCCGTGCCTTTTCTATTGCATTTCCTACATCCCAGGTCTTCAGGCTTGCAGGGAGAAAGTCATCATAGAAAGCTTATCATCATTTTGGTTGTGCAWGCTTCTTTGGAAAGGCCTCCAACCCATCCTCATAAGGGAGCCTCCATCCAAAGCTCCCGTTCTTGCCCGGAGCACCCTGCCCCGAGGCGTGGGGCTCAGATCCAGTGCGTTGCCCCCTAAACACCGCAGCTCGATGCTTGACCCCCCATAACTAAGTTTGTAGCCAAGATCTCCCTGTGTGCGACTGTGCTGGACCGGGATACCCGGGTGAGCCCCTTGCTGCTGCCATCAGCTCGTGATCTAAGTGGAGCCGCATGGATCAGCCGAGGAGATGGGGACGGACACGGAGAGGAGCCCCAGACACGGCCCATGTGTGTGGGGTGTGTGCTGGCTGCTGTCATCTGCCTGAATACATTCACCTTTGAAACAGGGGCTGTCTCGTGTGCTCCGGGAGGCTGGAATGCAGCCCCGCTCATGGATCAAGGGGGGAAAAAAATGCCTGTGGATGTATCCGCCTTTGTGCTCGGGCTTATAGCCACCCACGGTCTGGCATGCGGCCCTTCAGTGCACAAAGATGCCTTTTAGGAATGGTTAGTGAAATCCCCACCCTCCTTTGATATGTATGGAAATAATGGGGCACGTGAGACTGTTTTCTGATTGAAGAAAAAGAAGCTATAGAGGGAGTAACTTTTTAAAAGGCCCGTGTTTGCTCCCGCCTAACTGGGGAGCTTAGCAGAAGCAATCCACTAAATCCATGACGGGTTTGCTTTGCTGTCCACGGGGTGTCCTTCAGGTGCTGTGTCTGAATACAGGGTAAAAGATGTGAATATATATGTAAATATAGATATATATATGTGAATATAGGGGGAAAAAAGCTTTCCTCTAAGTCCCAGGTTCGGCTACTCGGGGGTTGTAGAGTTTGAGCTTATGACTGGCTGCATGGGTGTCCGTTGCCCAACAAACTCCAAGGATCCTGGTCCTGGAATCAATGTCAAGGCTCCTGACGGAGCCCTGGCACAGGCTGCCCAGGGAGGCTGTGGAGGCTCCTTCTCTGGAGGTCTTCCAAACCCACCTGGATGCCRCCCTGTGCCCYRTGCTCTGCGTGTCCCCGCTGGAGCAGGGGGGTTGAACTAGATGATCTCTAGGGGTCCCTTCCAACCTCAATGATTCTGTGTTTCTGTGATCCTGAGGCTGCAGGATGGGTCAGAAAGTAGCAGCTGATCGGAATGGAGGAAGCCTGTGGAGCAGGACACCAGCTGAGGCTCAAGGCCTTCCAGCACCAAGAGCTCTGTGCTCGGACATGGAGCACAGCAGTGGTCCAAGCTGGGACCTCCTTGGGAGCTCCGGACAGGGTGCCTGGTTGCAGCTCGTACCCCAGGGCAGAGATGGGCAGGGAGCTGCTCCTGCAAGGAAGGGCCCCTGTGCTGTGACCAGCTGGCCCCTCCGGGGTTGCTATTCCAGCTTCCAAGTTGCCTCATTTCCCCCTCAATGTAGCAGGATGTATCTCACAAGAACATCACAACAGAGTGTTGAAGGCCAGGAGAAGCTCTGCCTCACCTGAGACCACGAAGGATCTCCCAGCTCCCGCACCGACCCTGGAAGCTCTTCCTCAACGGAGCACGTTCTCAACGGCGTCTGCTCTTGACCTTGCAAGCTCCGTAAGCCACCAGTCCCCTTGGGAGCCCGTCCTCGTGGCTCACACGTCTTGCAGGGGGAGCCGTGCGCTTTGAGGGCGATGTGGCTGCAGGCTGCAGACTCGAGCCGAGTCCGCACGAGACGCCGGCACGCGGCAACCAACCTCCATGCTGACCCCGTGGAGATAAATTCCTGGTGCTCAGCGGCCGGCCCGCTGCAGGATTAGCATTTTTGCGCTTGGAGCGCAGCAGGCCGCCCATCTGCCGCGAGATGCTCCCAGATGGGTGTCTGGGCACGAGGTGCTGGTTCTGGTCTAATGCCCCTGCCTAAAAGGCATTAAAATGAGTTGACCCATTTGGCAGCGGCTTCACCCAGGCTGTTCCACGGACACCGGGGAGGAAGGAATCCTTCATTCTGCTGAGCTCCTACCCTGTTCCTCTGTTGGTATTTAGCACAAGCATTAAGGGGGACGAGGTGCCATCGCTCAGGCTTGCTTGCCAAGCTCGTGAGAAAGCCTAAAGCTGGGAGTGGAGCGAGCGCTAATACTGAGATGAAGCTSGAGTGATTTCTCCTGTAAGGTGTTTTAGTGCACGTGGTAATAAAAGCTGCTAAGAAAGTAGAAGGGAATTGGAAATTTCTTGGTTGGGTTGGTGAGGAAGTGGTTGCATTTAGCAAGACTTATCCCATCACAGCATTCAAGCCTCCTGGAAGAAGATGACACCTGAACATGGAGGTTTATGGTGGGACCATGGCCTGGCCAGACCGTTTGCCCACGAGCCAGGGGAAGCCCTTGGGAAGGGCTGGGAATGGAAAACGGGGCCGCTCTGCCCACCCTGGGGTGGTGTTGAGGTGCTGAGGAGGTGCCTGCAGCCCATCCTGGGCAAGGAACCCACCATATCGGAGTCCTTAGGTCCTCCTAGCAGGAGTTTAAAGGTGCCCAGGGCTTCGTGTCGCACTGGTGCAGCTTTGCTAMTGAATTGTGCCCTCAGATGTTGCCAATGATACTTAAAAAGAAATGGGCGCTTAAACACTTATTTCAGATTAAGTGACTTAATCCCTTGATGAAGCTAAACCCAAATAAGCCGGTCCCCAGCTGTAGGATGGTGTTTTATGGAAAGCTCTCATCCATTTACAAGCCTTAGTCTCAGCTGGAACATGTTTGTGTAAGGATGGGGCTTTCAGCTGTTCTTTCAGGTGCTCTTCAAGCTCTGTATCATCTTCCCGATCCATTGCTCATAGAA